GGATCCCTCCATTCCTTCCTTGTAAAATCTAATAATACTTGATGGACTGGAAAGACTTTGTGTTTAGCCTGTTCCAGGCCTTGGTACCTTTTGCTTTCAGCAAATTGTCCACCTCCTCCAACAATAGCTTATATCTAGATGATCTTGCAACCTGCTCCTCACTTCCTCTTCATCCGAATGTTTGGGGGAGAGAAGGATGCTCTCTCTCTTCTTCTTCTGAATCGCTGATTCCCACCTGGCTTGAGGCGGATGGCAGAGGATGGACTAGGTACTCTGTTGCGAGCCTGGCTGGAGTGTCGGCAGTTTTATCCGCTGGGCCCCCATGCCTCCTCCATCTTGCAGAGTGTGCAGCTTTGCTGGGACCTGTGGTACTTTTGAAGTTCCCACCGTCCTCCAGAACGCTGGTGACCTGAAACTGGAAGCACCTGCCGACCTGCCTCTTCCCCTTGCGTTTCAATGGCCAGAACCAACGCTGCCACGCCCCCCGCCGGAAATCTCGCCCACCAGTTCCAGTGTCCTTCACTGGCCAGGACTGTAAAACACTGCAGGAAGCCAACTGATGGCTTCCCATGGCACGGACACTGGGAGACTCGCTCCCCTCCGAGCACTAGAGACACAGCAGGGGCCCCCTGGCTGGCCATCGCTCCACTGAGCTGGAAGGGGACAGAAGGTGCTGGCACCCCCCCCCTCAAACGGCGGAGGAAGGAGCTAGGCTGGTCCACACACACCAAAATGCATGGCAAGGACTACCCCCCCCCCCCCCCCACTGCAGAGAGCACAGGCCCCCCAGCCCCCCTTCCCCCCCATAATCCAGGCTCCTGCAGCGCTTCCACCATGGCAGAGGAAACACCATAACTGAGGGCATGGTGGAACAGGCAGACTCTTAAATGCCACGGTGTTTCCTGTGATTATGGGTTGAGCTGCACTCTCCAGGAGCTGTGCTGAAAGGCGATGGGGGGAAATTATAACACACACAAATAAATATATACACAGACACACGTACTCAATACAATGGCCAGGGGTGTAGGTTTCTATGCATTACATTTCCCTCAAAGGAGAGGTGATTTTAATAAAGAATTATTAAGAAAGGAAAAATACTGGATATATAAACTTGATACATTGTTCCCAAAGGGGTTAAATGTTGAGTGTGATCTCCAGGTATTTCTGGATAAATAGCCTTATACAAGGATTTCCTATTTAATATCGCCATCTGTGGTGAGTTTGCGGTAATTTTTTATCTCCTTTAATGTTAATAGAACATGATAAGCCTTCCCTCTTATAGATGTGTCCAATTGCCTGTTGGTTTAAATTTGATAAAAGATCAGCTGTTGTGCTAAGTAATTAGCCTTTTTCCCATTGAGAATAGCTGTATGTTAATAAATGTTTAGTGTGATCTCCAGGTATCTTTGGTCAAATAGCCTTATACAGGGATTTCCTAATTAATATCGCCATTTTTTGGTGAGTTTGCGGTAATTATTTATCTCCTTTAATGTCAATAGAACATGATAAGCCTTTCCTCTCTTTGATGTGTCCAGTTGCCTGTTGTTTTAAAAGTGATAAATGACCAGCTATTGTGCTAAGTAATTAGCCTTTTTCCCATTGAGAATAGCTGCAGGTTAATAATTTGCATATGTGGGTGGGTTTAAACCCACTATAAATAGGAAGCTGAAAGGCAGGAATCTCATTGGTCCTGACGAAGCTGAGTAAGATACGCCCAACGGCGAAACGCGTTGACGTCATACGTCAGATACGTCACTTCCGGTCATGCGCATTGGCGATATGCACGCCGACCTACAAGGAGGCAGCCATTTTCACATGCCACGAGTCATGCAAAAGCTGTACAGGCACCATAGAGAGGTCGGAACCCGCGAAATGTCGGCTGATGTAAGCGGTAGTTCCCTGGATCAACATGGCAGTACTTATGAAGGATATTTCTATTTTTTTTTTTACTACCCATGGCACAGGTGGTGAGTGGACTGTTACAAGATTAACGAAGAATTGTTAATTGTTAAGATTGTTACTTATACTATATATACACATCAGAGTGAGAGTACCCAGAGTGACTATCCTCATATTATTTGTCTTATTTCAGGATGGGGACATTATGATGCATTATCTAGATGCAAGATATACAACATATATTGCAACAGGCGGAAGACCCATTGGGCCTCATTCTATTTCAAATATTAAAGTGGTTTGCAGTCCACATGTCGTGGTGAAGAAACCATATAAAAGCAGGCCTCTGCTATTTGTATTCATCTCTCCATCAAGACATCAACAGGGACTCTTTCATCTATAAGAATCTTTGCAACTATTTGCGTCTACCACGGGCAGATGGGCCCCAACCACATGTGCCTTTATAGGGTTGTACTGCATGAATCCATTATTACATTATTGGGGTTTATTCCCCCTTCTTTTCATTCAATTTTTTTACCCACATTGCCTTGTATAGGCCTAGGGTTATGTTTCTCTCCACGTGGAAACTGTATTTGCTAATATGCATAGCATGTGATATTATATACCTATGGTACAATTTTTTGAAAACACCTCCTATAGGGAGTGTAACCAATGTGCAGTGCTGCAAATGCTCTAGACCAGGGGTGGGCAAACTTTTTGACTTGAGGGCCGCAATGGGTTCATATATTGGACCCGGGGGCCGGACCAAGAGTAGATGAATGATGTGTATGTGTCATCCATAGTAAGTATAGTAATATTCCCCCATAGTAAGCATAGTAATTAATCCCCCATAGTAATTAATCCCCCATATAGTAATTCATCCCCCATATAGTAATTCATCCCCCATAGTAATTCATCCCCCATATAGTAATTCATCCCCCATATAGTAATTCATCCCCCATATAGTAATTCATCCCCCATAGTAATTCGTCCCCCATATAGTAATTCGTCCCCCATATAGTAATTCGTCCCCCATATAGTAATTCGTCCCCCATATAGTAATTCATCCCCCCTATAGTAATTCATCCCCCATAGTAATTCATCCCCATATTAATTCATCCCCCATATAGTAATTCATCCCCCATATAGTAATTCATCCCCCATATAGTAATTCATCCCCCATATAGTAAGTCCTCCATATAGTAATTCATTCCCCATATAGTAAGTCCTCCATATAGTAATTCATCCCCCATATAGTAAGTCCCCCATATAGTAATTCATTCCCCATATAGTAAGTCCTCCATATAGTAATTAATTCCCCATATAGTAAGTCCCCCATATAGTAATTCATCCCCCATATAGTAAGTCCTCCATATAGTAATTCATTCCCCATATAGTAAGTCCTCCATATAGTAATTCATTCCCCATATAGTAAGTCCCCCATATAGTAATTTCATTCCCCATATAGTAAGTCCTCCATATAGTAATTAATTCCCCATATAGTAAGTCCCCCATATAGTAATTCATTCCCCATATAGTAAGTCCCCCCTATAGTAATTCATCCCCATATAGTAAGTCCCCCATATAGTAAGTCCCCCCCCCTGTGTCAATTCACTTACCTTTGGTCCGCGCGTTCCTCTCGTATTCCCGCGCCGTTCTGGTCTTCAGGGAGGACTGTGAGAGGAGTTCGTCACGCTGCCCCGCCTACATCCTGGCTGCCCCCGCCTACATCCTGACAGCTGCAGAGTCCTGACGTCCGAGAGGAGGGAGGGGGGCGGGCCGTCCGAGAGGGGGGGGCGGCCATCCGAGAGGAGAGGAGGGGAGAGGAGGGAGGGGAGCGGGCGCCCGGCACACAGGAGAGCCGCATCTAAATTTGTAAAGAGCCGCGGCTTGCCGACCACTGGCCTTGCGGGAGCCTAGCTCCGCGGGCCGGATTAAAAGGTCCGCCGGGCCGTATACGGCCCGCGGGCCGTATACGGCCCGCGGGCCGTAGTTTGCCCATTGCTGCTCTAGACTATGGTTGTCATAGCCTTTGCAGCACATATATCCAGACCGGTCTTGGTGTGATTTTAAATGGTTTTAGGTCTGTGTGTATTGTCTCATACTGAGGTGATGGTAAACCAGGGCGATTGCCCGATTGTCAATTATTAATGTGTAATAAAGCATCATTTTTGGAAATTTTCCTGAGTATCACATTCTGTCCATAATGTAGCCGCTTTCTTGTGAATCTCTTTTCACAAATTTCTTTGTTGGTCTGCATATTTTTTGGCTACTGGATGGAAGCCATATATTGGGTGATACAGTAATTTATATTTGAACCTCTAAACCTATTTTTTACTAAGTGTAGGTAAACTAATATTCCCCTAAACATACACCATTTAGGAGACCACAGCATGCACACTGCACTCTCAGTGGACGGCATGCCATTCATTAAGAGAGCTGTGCTGTGTCAGTGAGCTCACGCACAAGCATGGCAGTGAAGTCACCCCAGCTCGACCATTCAAATGGCCAAAGACAACAAACCCAGAACGAAGACCAGATGAAGATGGTATCCTTGTCAGCAGTGAAAAAGTGCACCACTAGAGCGATCTCTTTCACAGGTAAGTCTGCCATAAAGTGCTAATATGTGGTCCATTCTAGCACATTATGACATTCTTTTTTTTTTTTTCTTTTAAATGCGGTTTACTACTGCTTTAAAGGATAAGTTCATCTTTTGACCAAAAATAATAAATGCACACTTTTTTGCAGGTAAAAAGAATGTGCATTTATTATTATTGGTTACAGAAGCCTGTAAAAGCATTGCACCAGTGATCATCAGATCACAGGTGCCATGCAGGTCTCCTGCAGACCTGTCAGGGATGTACGGGCAAGCCAAACGCCGCTAAGGCTGTCCGGACTTGGCAGTTCATTAATTCACAGAACACTGTGAATGAATGATATGGCTGTGTGGGCGGAGCCCCACATGGCCACGCTGTTTTTAAAAAGTGACAGCTTGTACAGGGCAGCAGCTGCAACATTGGCAACATGTTACATGTTTCACCCTAATAAACAGATTTTTTTTAATTGTGAAGTTTTGAGAGTAAGCATTACAGAAGAAAGAGCACCTTGTAGAGATGAATTAGGTTGTTGTGTGGGAAATGCATAGTTGACACGAAAAGATGGACGTATTTGCTGTTCATCCCCTTCTCTTGAATGTTCTCTGCGATGAGTTTGCTAACGAAGTTCTTGCCGGTGCCGGTCCAGCCATGCAGGGATAGAGCCAGGGGTTTTTTGGGGTTTTCATTGTTCATAAACCCTGTGATTGCTCGGAAGATGACGTCATGGGCCAGGTGCTGCCCAAACAGTTTATTTCCCAAGTCTTCCTGGAAAGCTGATAAAAAGAAAAAGTGTTACAGTGGAGTACCAGGCTACTAAAATGGGAACATAATAGTCTGTGAAAACAGTCCAGGTACATCTTTCTTCCTATAAACCTCCTCTCCTTCTCCCAACCATTAAGAGAATTTTTCTTACTCACCTCCAATGTCATAACTCGGCCTTTTGCCTTCTAAAAACACAAAAAGTAGCCTGCCGTGTCGCCTCCCATTGATGTAGGCCTCCAGTAATGCCCTTGATGTGCACACAATCTGGACAATTAACTAAGCTAAGGAAACAGTCAAGAGTGACAATACAGTTGCAAGAAAAAGTATGTGAACCCCTTGGGATTACATGGCGTTTTGCATGAATTGGGCATAAAAAGTGCTCTGAACGTCATCTAAGTCACAACAATAGAAGAACACAGTCTGCTGAACATAATACTATACAAGCATTAGATGTTGCCATGGTTTAATTGCACATAACATGTAAACATTCACAGTGCAGGGAGGAAAAAGTATGTGAGGCCCTAGCTTAATGACTTCTCCCAGAGCTAATTGGAGCCAGGAGTGAGCCAACCTTGACTCCAATCAGTGTGATGATATTGGATGTGTTGCTGACAGCTGTCCTGCCCTTAAAAAAACACACACCTGTTTCGGGTTTACTGGTTTCAAGAAGCACTGTCTGATGTGAACCATGCCTTGCAGAAAAGAGCTCTCAGAAGACCTACGATCAATAATTGTTGACTTGCATGAAGCTGGAAAGGGTTACAAAAGTATCTCCAAAAGCCTTGATGTTAATGTGTCCACGGTAAGACAGACTGTCTACAAATGGAGAAAGTTTAGCACTGTTGCTACTCTCCCTAAGCGTGGTCGTCCTGTAAAAATGACTGCAAGAGCACAGCGCAGAATGCTGCATGAGGTAAAGAAGAATCCCAGAGTGTCAGCTAAAGACCTACAGAAATCTCTAGCACATGCTAACATTTTTGTTGACACATCTACAATAAGGAAAACATTGCACAAGAATGGAGTACATCCAAGACTGAGTTGTTTGGGAAGAACACACAACACTATGTGTGGAGAAAAAAAAGGCACAGCACACCAACATCAAAACCTCATCCACACTGTAAAACATGGCAGAGGGGGCATCATGGTTTGGGGCTGCTTTGCTGCCACAGGGCCTGGATGGATTGTTGTCATTGATGGGAAAATGAATTCCAGAGTTTATCAAGACATTTTGCAGGAAAACGTACGACCATCTGTCCGCCAACTGAAGCTCCGCAGAGGATGGGTGATGCAACAGGACAATGACCCAAAGCATACAAGTAATTCAACAAAACAATGGCTGCAACAGCACAGAATACGCCTTCTGGAGTGGCCCAGTCAGTCCTGACCTCAACCCGATTGAAATGCTGTGGCATGACCTCAAGAGAGCGATTCACACCAGACATCCCAAGAATATTGCTACACTGAAACAGTTTTGTGAAGAGGAGTGGTCCAGAATTACTCCAGATCGTTGTGCAGGTCTGATCTGCAAATACAGGAAACGTTTGGTTGAGGTTGTTGCTGCCAAAGGAGGGTCAACCAGTTATTAAGTCCAAAGGTTCACATACTTTTTCCTCCCTGCACTGTGAATGTTTACATGTTATGTGCAATTAAACCATGGCAACATCTAATGTTTGTGTAGTATTATGTTCAGCAGACTGTGTTCTTCTATTGTTGTGACTTAGATGACGTTCAGAGCACATTTTATGCCCAATTCATGCAAAACTCCACGTAATCCCAAGGGGTTCACATACTTTTTCTTGCAACTGTATATATGAAAATACTAAATACACATGATTTTGCAGGCAAAACTGTGCTGATTTTAAATGCGACAGCAGTTGCAAGGGAGAGGAAATCCTGCAAGCTGTCACAGGGAAGAGGCTCTGGGGGTGGGAAGCAGGTGATTATGAACATGCTATGCGGTGTCACATGTAAAATGTTCCTAAAAGTGAACTTATCCTTTAAGGCCCTAAAGCACACAGATGTCTAGCTGCTACAGTCCTCCGTGTAAAATCTCTGTCACTTTCCTGCAACCAAGTGAAGGGCTGTATTCAGGTATATCCCCAAACACATAAGTGGCACATTTGGGGGAATGTAATGTACGCACATGCGCAGGTAAAAGCAGATGCAGAAGTATTACACAGAAGTATTACACAAGTATGACTCGTACAGCCATTCACTTGGATAGGTGACTGTACAGGCTGTGGGAAAGTGCCAGAGAAAGTATGCTAAAGGACTGCAGCCTCTAGAAATCCGTGTGCATGAGGCTTTACCCGAGTCACAGAATTATTTTTTTAATGATAAACACAGAGCTGAAACAAAACATTATGGAAGGTGAACAATTGTACCTTTCTTTAAAAAAGATTTAGGGATTCCAAAGGATCTGCAGCTATGGGAGACAAGCCACCAATCACAAGGCCCCAGCATTATCATATGTGCCTATTCAAATACAGACTTTCTGAAAGTCAGTATTTGCAGGAGGTTGTCTGTAGCTTCTACAGGGCGGATTTGGTAAGGTTGGTAGAGCTGGGTATCTTATGGATGTATTCCTCAGCTCTGCATTCATCCTAAAACTCACATACAGCTCTATGTTAAAATAGAACTAAAGGCAAAACTTTTTTTTTTCTAGTTTTGGATGGAGTGGAGAGGGATTAGACAACCCGTCATGTTTTTATTGCTGTCACCCTGTATTCACCCTCTCCATTTTCCCCAGTGACCAATATCACCAAGAATGAAAGAAAATCCCTAAACAATGAGTTGTCACCAGAACAGGAAATCAGGACTTCTTGCGCATTCCGGTGTGTTTGGCAGTGCATTCAAATTCCAGTAATTCTACAGGCTAATTCTTTTTGTTTAACTAACAAACATGTTACACAATGCTCAAAAAAATTAAAGGAACGCTTTTTAATCAGAGTATAGCATCAAGTCAATTACACTCCTGGGATATTGATCTGGTCAGGTAAGTAGCAGGGGGGGGGGGGTGTTAATCAGTTTCAGCTGCTTTGGTGTTAATGAAATTAACAGGTGCACTATATGGGCAACAATGAGACGACCCCCAAAACAGGAATGGTTTTTACACAGGTGGAGGCCACTGACATTTTTTTCCCTACTCATCTTTTCTGACTGTTTTTCACTAGTTTTGCATTTGGCTAGGGTCAGTATCACTACTGGTAGCATGAGACGATACCTGGACCCTACAGAGGTTACACAGGCAGTCCAAATCCTCCAGGATGGCACATCAATACGTGCCATTGCCAGAAGGTTTGCTGTGTCTCCCAGCACAGTCTCAAGAGCATGGAGGAGATTCCAGGAGACAGGCAGTTACTCTAGGAGAGCTGGACAGGGCCGTAGAAGGTCCTTAACCCATCAACAGTACCGGTATCTGCTCCTCTGTGCAAGGAAGAACAAGATGAGCACTGCCAGAGCCCTACAAAATGACCTCCAGCAGGCCACTGGTGTGAATGTCTCTGACCAATCAGAAACAGACTTCACGATGGTGGCCTGAGGGCCCGGTGTCCTGTAGTGGGACCTGTGGTCACTGCCCGGCACCATAGAGCTCAATAGGCATTTGCCATTGAACACCAGAATTGGCAGGTCCACCACTGGTGCCCTGTGCTTTTCATAGATGAGAGCAGGTTCACCCTGGAAACAGGTGACAGACGTAAAAGGGTCTGGAGAAACCGTGCAGAATGTTATGCTGCCTGCAACATCGTTCAGCATGACCGTTCTGTTGGTGGGTCAGTGATGATCTGGGGAGGCATATCCATTGAGGGACGCACAGACCTCTACAGGCTAGACAATGGCACCCTGACTGCCATTAGGTATCAGGATGAAATACTTAGACCCATTGTCAGACCCTACGCTGGTGCAGTGGGTCCTGGGTTCCTCCTGGTGCACGACAATGCCCGGCCTCATGTGACGAGAGTATGTAGGCAGTTCCTGGAGGATGAAGGAATTATTACCATTGAATTGCCCCCACGCTCGCCTGACCTAAATCCAATAGAACACCTGTGGGATATCATGTTTTGGTCCATCCAACACCGCCAGGTTGCACCTCAGACTGTCCAGGAGCTCAGTGATGCCCTGGTCCAGATCTGGGAGGAGATACCCCAGGACACCATCCGTAGTCCCATTAGGAGCATGCCCCGACATTGTCAGGCATGCATACAAGCACATGGGGACAAACTACTGAGTATCATTTTGAGTTGCTGCAATGAAATTTCAGCAAAATGGACTAGCCTGCTGCATCATTTTTTCACTTTGATTTTCGGGGTGTCTTTGATGGTAATGACTGAATTCAAACGATGGGGCATCCTTACGTTCCTAATACATTACCCAGTCCAGTAGAGATATACAGCATGAGGTTTTCTCCATTGAGATCTGATGTATTTTCAGAGTGTTCCTTTAAGTTTTTTGAGCAGGTACTTATCTGTTATGTACAATGGTTTTGAACAGAGCAGTCCTGATCCTCCTCCTCTTGGGTCCCCTGCCACTCCGGGCTCCTCCCCTCTGCTAAATGCCCCCAGAGCAAGCCGCTTGCTCTTGGGGTACTCGTGTGTGCTTGCTCCGGAGCCACCTTTATGTGTCCAAAGGACACAAAGAGCATGGCTTGCCCCCCCCCCCCCCCCCAATGGCTGTGATTGACAGCAGCGGAAGCCAATGGCTAACTGAGAGCCGTTGCTCTCGTGCACATTGATGGATTGAAATTGGGATCAAGTATGTATAAAGGGGACTGCACCTTTACAACCACTTTAAGTGTAATGGTTTTGCACAGAGCAGGCCCGCTCCTCATTGGATCCCCCACTGGTCCTCCTGTTTCCTGCCGAGTGCCCTCTAGCAAGCCACTTGCTATGAGGGCACTCATGCGGACTTGTTCCTGAATTGTGTTGACACAACACAGTGCAGCTCAGTCCCCTTGCCGGGTGAAAACGCGTAAATGTGAACCTGTACCATAGGAAATCATGTTAAATCGATTGTAGTGCGTTTCTGCAAAACGCTGAAAACACTTGCGTGTGAACCTAGGGTCAGTCTAGTCAGCGTGATTTGAAAACGAATTCCTGCATTACTTTTTCACCACTTCATAGACTATGCCCTGGTTCACAATGAATGCGACTTTGAAATCGCATTACTTCACTTGAAGGAGCATGATTTCAAAGGCACGGATCAGTGCGATTTGTACCGCCAATTTCACTGCAGCTTGTGACTTCATTTAACAGAAGTCAATACAATGAAATCGGAGAAAAAAATTAGTGCAGGGAGTATTTTTGAAATTGAACTTCCAACTGCGCTGATCGACAGTGCCATAGGAATACATGAGACGGGACTTCAAGTGCAATTTGTCGCACCGGTGTGAACCAGGGCTAAGATAAATGGCACTAAAACTGCACCGGTGTCTACTTTGAAGTCGCCCTTTTACCACTTCCAGTCCGGACACTTTTACCCCCTTCCTGTCCAGGCCAATTTACAGTTTTCAGTGCTATCACACTTTGAATGACAATTGCGCGGTCATGCAACACTGTACCCATATGAATTTTTTAGCATTTTTTTGAGAGATAAAGCTTTATTTTGGTGGTATTTATTCACTTTATTTGCTTTATTTTTTTTGCTATGTAAATGAAAAAGTCCAAAAATTTTGAAAAAAAAAGTGTTTTTCTTTTAAAATTTTGCAAATAAATAATATTTCATCATAAATCTTGGCCAGAATTTATTCTGTTTTTTTTTTTTTTTACTAAAAAAATAATAACCCAAATTAGCTTATAACCAAAAATTATAATTTTTAAACTTTTTTTTTTTACATTTTCATTTTATTATATACATATATATATATATTTTTTTTTACATAATGTCACCTTAGCAGTACAGTGTTACCATGGTGACACTGTACTACTTGTGGGGGGGGGGGGTGATGAAGATTTTTTTTTTTTTTTTTTCCTACACCGATTGCTTTTACACCCATAAAGGCTGTAAAAGCAATAATTTCTCCTAATCTCTGGCTGCATTCTTGCAGCCGTTGAGAACTACTGAGTGAGCTGTGATTGGTCAAAGCTTGTCACATGGTACAAGGCTGTTGTGAATAGCCTTGTACCATGTGACCTCTGTGATCATTCACAGATATCACACATAGTAAGCAATGATGTCAGAAGTGACATCTTGCTTACTACTCTGCATGTGATCACTAATTGGCCAATCAGTGATCACACGATTGGGACCGCGTACAGAGGTCCCGTACGACGATTGGTGTTCCACTGTGTATGGAGGACACAGCGTGCACCGGATCGCGGTGCTGCGCACTCCCAGGGAGCGCTCACAAGCAGGGTGCGGGGAGGCCGTTTATAAACGGCCACCCACCCCCCTGCACTGCCACCGTCCGGCCGTTTATATACAACGGCAGGACGGGAAGTGGTTGAATGTGACCAAATCGCACCATTTTGAAAACGTATTAGTTGTGAACCAGGGCTAAGCTCTCTTTCACACCAATGGGATGACAGTTCAAATCGCATGACATGCCGCAGCCTACTTGTGCCTATGGAACTGGTCAAATCAGTGAGTCCAACTTGCATTGATTTTGAAAAAGGTCCCTGCACTATTTTTTGTCGATTTCATGTGCAACTTGCATAGACATGTGTGCATGAAGTGGATGAAATCACACGACCGGTAGCTTTGATATCCCATGACTTCAGCTGAAGTAGCGCGATTTCAACGCCGCATTCTGTGTGAACACAACACTAGATCTCTTGGCTGTGAACCTTGCAAGGCCCCAGTCACTCTGTGTAGCGGGAACGCGCTTTCCTGCGTCTGGCGTTTGTGCATTTATTACGTTTCCACCTCGCCCACAGGACACTCACTCACATGGGCTGTCCTACGCATGTCAGAGATGCTCCTGCAGCTTTTCAGTCGAGAAGCGTTACGTGTTTTTTCAAGTCTGCAATCTGTCTTTGGGGGGGGGCATTGTGAATTAATGGCTCCCAAGCGCCTGCTGTGCTGTGATTGTGTGATTTCACATACACGGAGTGTGAATGGAGCCCATTGGCTGAGAAATAATGTCAGGTTTTTATTGCCGTCTGTGTCCCCGTTGTGGAGATTCACCCTCTCTATCTGAACAGGTGACCACAGTCACAAGTGGAAACCCTGCATGTCAGACTTGTCACCAGAATATGAAGAGAGGGGAAATCGTCCAATGGGGACACCTGCTCCAAAGACAACCAGGAGGGGGGTTCCAGTCACTTTGGCTCCCACTTCCTGTTGTGTCTCCAGGACAGGAAGAAGTTGTCACCAACTACCCCAACTTCTGTCTGTCCTCACCCTCCAATCAGTGATCAGATTCCTGGATATAATAGAGGAAATCACAGACAGATGATAACCAATTCCCCCCCATGCTGGGCTGTGTAGTTCCCCAGTCGGCCCGCCCCTCCCCCCTCACCTGTACTGTTATAAGCGTTCTCCTCACAGCACTCCACTAGACGGCCGCAGTAGAAGCGGGGATAGGACAGGTATCCGGTCAGTGCAGAGACGGCGGCTATGGCTACAGCTGTGGTGATCGGCTCCAGGGCCAACACAGCCGACAACAGGGGACCCAACAATACCCCCAGACACAGCCATGACCCCAGGAGAGAGCGCCGAGCACCGGCCATGGGAGCTCCAAACCGCGCATGCGCCTCCCAGGCTGCCTGTATAAGACCTGACCTTGCGCAGAACTCTCTTCTCAAAGGCGCGCTTCCGGTGTGGATCCGAGTGGGGTTTTCTGCTCTACTGCGCACTCTCCTCAGTTTCGTTTTCTGAGTTCAGGTAGTATTTCTTCTGAGGAATGATTCCAGTGCCATGCATTGCTAAATCTACCCCAACCTGTCATTCACTATGGCCACAGTGCGGCCTCCGGCGGTTATTAGCGTTATTACTGCTCTCATTATTAGTAATAATAATAGTACTCATAGGGATCATAGTTGTAGTAATGATAGTACTCATAGGGATCATAGTTGTAGTAATGATAGTATGAATAGGGATCATAGTTGTAGTAATGATAGTATGAATAGGGATCATAGTTGTAGTAATGATAGTATGAATAGGGGATCATAGTTGTAGTAGTATGATAGTATGAATAGGGATCATAGTTGTAGTAATGATAGTACTCATAGGGATCATAGTTGTAGTAATGATAGTACTCATAGGGATCATAGTTGTAGTAATGATAGTATGAATAGGGATCATAGTTGTAGTAATGATAGTATGAATAGGGATCATAGTTGTATAATGATAGTATGAATAGGGATCATAGTTGTAGTAATGATAGTACTCATAGGGATCATAGTTGTAGTAATGATAGTATGAATAGGGATCATAGTTGTAGTAATGATAGTACTCATAGGGATCATAGTTGTAGTAATGATAGTATGAATAGGGATCATAGTTGTAGTAATGATAGTATGAATAGGGATCATAGTTGTAGTAATGATAGTACTCATAGGGATCATAGTTGTAGTAATGATAGTACTCATAGGGATCATAGTTGTAGTAATGATAGTATGAATAGGGATCATAGTTGTAGTAATGATAGTATGAATAGGGATCATAGTTGTAGTAATGATAGTACTCATAGGGATCATAGTTGTAGTAATGATAGTACTCATAGGGATCATAGTTGTAGTAATGATAGTATGAATAGGGATCATAGTTGTAGTAATGATAGTATGAATAGGGATCATAGTTGTAGTCATGGGCGGACTGACAACTCATGGGGCCCCTGGGCAATAGAGGATCATGGGGCCCCTGTGTCCTTGCCCAAACTCAAAAAAGCCTATGAAAAAGGTACCAGGGGCATCTTATGGGCCTCCCTACTGACCCCGGGCCCTCGGGCAGTGCCAGAGATTCCAAATGGTCAGTCCGCCGCTGGTTGTAGTAATGATAGCACTCATAGGGATCATAGTTGTAGTAATGATAGTACTCATAGGGATCATAGTTGTAGTAATGATAGTACTCATAGGGATCATAGTTGTAGTAATGATAGTACTCATAGGGATCATAGTTGTAGTAATGATAGTACTCATAGGGATCATAGTTGTAGTAATGATAGTACTCATAGGGATCATAGTTGTAGTAATGATAGTACTCATAGGGATCATAGTTGTAGTAATGATAGTACTCATAGGGATCATAGTTGTAGTAGTAATAGACACAATAATATTAGTATAAATGTTAATAGTACTAGTGATAATAATAGTAGTAGAAATAGTGATACTAATAGAAGTAATAATAATAGCATACATAATAACAATGGTAATAATAATAGTAGTAAAAGTAATAATTATTGTTATAGTAGTAATGGTAATATTATTATTATTACCGTATTTTTCGCTCCATAAGACGCACCTGACCATAAGACGCACCTAGGTTTTAGAGGCAGAAAACAGGAAAAAAAAAAATTCTGAACTAATGGACTGCAGACACAGTACAGGGATGACCAGAGACTGCGCATAGCACAGGGATGACCAGAGACTGCGGACAGCACAGGGATGACCAGAGACTGCGGACAGCACAGGGATGACCAGAGACTGCGGACAGCACAGGGATGACCAGAGACTGCGGACAGCACAGGGATGACCAGAGACTGCGGACAGCACAGGGATGACCAGAGACTGCGGACAGCACAGGGATGACCGGAGACTGCGGACAGCACAGAGATGACCAGAGACTGCGGACAGCACAGGGATGACCAGAGACTGCGGACAGCACAGGGATGACCAGAGACTGCGGACAGCACAGGGATGACCAGAGACTGCGGACAGCACAGATGACTGCTGACCTTTGGGGAAGTGGGGAGCGGGTACCTGAATTTGACAGGTACCCGCTCTTCCGCAGAGTTTTTGTTTGATCTTACCTGTTCCTCGATCCAGCCGCGCGCTGTATTCCCGGCTTCTGTAATGGTGCTCGGCATGACAGCCGGGTGCCCAGTGCGCATGAGCGAGAAGCACTTGCGCTTTGTGATTGGTCCGGCGGCTTTTGGGATCTGTCATGTGTCCCAGGTACCGCCTTACCATTCACAAAAAGCACCGCTTCTTGCGCATGCGCACTTGTCACCCGGCTGTCATGCCCAGTGCCCACACTACAGAAGCCGGAAGACAGCGCGCCGCTGGATAGAGGAACAGGTAAGATCAAAGAACAAAGAAGTAAGAGCGGGTACCTGTCAAATTCAGGTACCCGCCCCCACCTCCCCAAAGGTCAGCAGTCATCTCCATAAGGTCCCGCTGCAGAGCTGAGCGGCCGGCCTGGTATTCTGACACGGCCGCAGTGGAAATACCGGACCGGCCGCTCCATATTCGCTCCATAAGATGCACTGATATTTTCCCCCCTTTTTTGGGGGGGAAAAAAGTGCGTCTTATGGAGCGAAAAATACAGTATTATAAGTAGTGGTACTAATAGTATTCTTACTACTAAGATGATTATTATTTCATCTTTCATTGTTAGAAAAAAAAAACAAACCAGCCATTTCCTCATTTACTATCAGTACCAGCCTCTTCCTCATAGCTCCGCCTTATTGCGAGGGAGATCTGGAGCTGCATTTCATATATCGATGGATCTTTTCCTGTACATCTTGATTTTCTTGGTGCTTTAGGCCTCTTTCACACAGGCGTTCCGTATGTCCGTTTACAGATGAAAAACGGACACTCATGTATTTCTATGGACTAGCGGATGTAAACGGATTATCATATTTTTTTCTGTTAACCTCTTCCCTACCGCGCTATATCCGAAAGACAGCTACAGCACGGTTGTCTAGTTCTGGGAAGATGTCATTTCTAGAACGTGGCCCCAGTGCTGCCAGTGATCACCTGTGTCCTATGGACACAGTTGAGTACGTGATACGGTACACAGCCAAATCATAGCGGCCTTTTACCATGTGATCAGCTGTGTCCAATCATAGCGTCCTTTTACCATGTGATCAGCTGTGTCCAATGACATAGCAGATCACCGGGTAAATACAGTTGCCGATTATCGGCTGCACTTTCCTCACGCAGTCACAGCATGAGGAATGTACTGCTGGTAACCAGCAATTGTCAGAGATGTGATCGGCACTGATGATCAGTGCCTATCTGTGCCACCCACCTGTGCCTATCAGTGCTGCCTATCAGTGAAGGAGAAAAATGACCTGTTTGGAAAATCTTATAAACAAAGAACTTTTTTTTTGTTTTTAATTTTTTGCTTTTTTTTTTTAAAATTTTTTGCTCTTTTTTTGTATATAGTGCAAAAAATAAAATACCCAGCGATGATTAAATACCACCAAAAGAAGCTCTATTTGTGTGAAAAAAATAATAAAAATTTCGTATGGGTATAATGTTGCATGATTGCACAATTGTTATTCAAAGTGCGACAGCGCTGAAAGCTGAAATATTGGCCTGGGCAGGAAGGGGGTATAAGTGCCCGATAGGCGAGTGGTTAAAAAAAAACAGATGTAAACTGATCTGAACTGATTTATTTTTGGGAAAAACATGACTAAACTGATGAAAAAAACGGAACGTCCGTGTGAAAGGGGCCTTACCTTGTCTGCAAGATTATCAGTTGCTATCATGCAGGAGGTTTGTGGATTTCTGTGGTGGTTTAGTCTGGTTTTCATCATGACTGTGGTCATTGCACTGTGGAATATCAACACCTGGATCATCCTTTTACATTAAAGGTAACACCTTAGTCTGGGTTCACACCTAAGCATTTTCTGTTGTGTTTTGCATAAATGCACAGCACTCCATTAAACATGATTAACTATGGAACAGGTTCACATCTCCGCATTTTCACCCCGATGCGTTTTTTGGAAAGGGTCAGGGACTTTTTGAAGCGCAAAACATTTCATTTTTGGTTCTATACATCAATGAAAACGCTGCAGAAAAGCATCTAGTGCATTTTTGATGCGTTAATGCGTTTTAATCTGCCCAGCAACAAGTAAAAAAACCCTGCAAAACACATAAAAAACGTGCAAAAACGCACTGCAGAAACCGATCAAACAAACTGCATAGGTGTGAACCTAGCCTTAGGGGTTTGGTGGGCATATCTCTGGCTTGCTTGGAGATTAAATTAGTTTTTATGTTATTTTTGCATTGTTGACCTTATAGTGTATTTATCTCCAAAACATTTGAAAATTTCAGATAGCTTGGGGAAGGGTTAGAACCCGTGTCAGATTTTATTGCTGTCTGTGAACCCCCTGGGAGATTAGTGCCCAGACACACAATAAGAAAATCGTCAGAAAATCTTTGCGGAACCACTGATCGAACGATTTTCTCTTCATTGATGAGCAGGATTTTTTTTTTTTTTCATTGATGAGCAGTTTTAACCGATAACGATATTGTGAATGAAAAAATCTGGTTGAACAAAAGTGAAAAATGTTTTTGTTTCGAATTTGAACGACTGATTTTCTATGCGGTGGTATGATGATGGTCGTACGAAAAAAATCTATCAAGCGCTATCACGCATGAGCGGAAACAGAAGATGACCCGGATGGTTATGTCCAAGGAATCTTTGTAAACACGAACGAAAAATCCAAATGTTAAAAGTAGATTGGCCTAATGAGATAATGAAACCAGAATTCTGCAGATTATATTTTATGTATCACTATTTATGTATATAGGTCATGTAATAAACTATATTATACTCATTGCTGTTAATT